GGCCCGCGGGGTCTCCATGCGTTGCGAAAGGTAAATGAACCTCTCCTTTGATCGCCGATCGCGAGTTATTAAGCTGCAAGGATGGATGCCGTTGCGCCCATATTACAGAAACAAAACAAAGGAACATCGCGAGTTTAGTGCTTATCTGATACGCCTTTCTGTGTGCTTCATCCGAGGAAATATACTCGAATCGAAGGATCAAGTTATGAGGAAAGTATCAATTGCACAAGAGTCTATTATTTACCAATATGGACACGCGCTCAAGGCAGTGAAAGACCCTCACCGCTATAACGTCATCACGAACCAACTTTTATTAGAATTTTTGGAATTTATAGACCTGCATAAGACTACAACTTTTCTTCTCCCTGCGGAACTTCAGGATTAGATATTGTTCATTTTCCCCGACACGTAACAAATGTTGATGTTTTATAAAGAACTGGGCCGGGAGTTGCGACTCGTAGCGTGGCGGAGGAGAGTTATCACAGACCAAGGATATACGGCCGGCGTCCTTAACTCCTGATGGGGGAGAGGGGGGGAGGGGGGGGACCCCACAACACTTACCCAACTTATCATTACTATTATTACTTCACAGTTGCTGAGTTTCTCTCTTGTTTTTGCTACATATGCAGCTTTTTTCATTTCTTTTCTTCGTTAGAACCATTGTAAAGACTAGTTGTCTTGGCAAAATATATACTCTTAAAATAGTTTCAGGGTCTCTGCAACTTCTGCCAGTGTCGAGGATGGTGACGACACCAGAAAGAAATGCCAGTTAAACAGCGTGCCATTATCATTATTTCAATTTTCTCCCGAGAGTTCGCTTGACGTATAAAACTTAGATTATTTCCTTTCAAACCGCCTCCCTCCTCCGATTGCATCTCATCCTTCTTTCCCTCTTGCTCTTCTTCTCTCTTGCTCCCAACTCCTCTTCCAACTGTTTCTCGCGTCCGCCCCCCCCCCCCCCTTCACTCTGCGAGGACATATATCCGCGCCCTGACCACTGAGGCCGCGCCGAGTCGCCTCACTATTAGCTGGAATCGCTTCTCTCACTTCTTTAGTCAATGAACCATAAAATATTTCTCTTCAGCACGAAGCCCGTAGTAACCGCTGACGTATGAAGTCAAGAAACCTTCTACACCCCTCCCCCTCCCCAGGTACAGCCCCCCCCCTTACTGATGCTTGAACACGCACTATCTCTCCTCGCTGATCTGCTCGCCCTGGCTCTGATAATGTTATTCTTTCGGTCGATCGTCGTTTCCTCCCCCCCCCCTCGAGGTTCATGTTCCTCTCCTTCCTATGTTTGTTCTTCCCTTTCCTCTTCTCTTTTCTTTGTTCCCACCCTTCCTCCCTTCTCCTTACCCACGCTCTGACCTGTTCATAGCCACGCCCCC